GAATGACTCAAGAACTTGATTTTGAACCCACTTATACTAACGACACATCTCTTGCATCAGTCAGTAATCTGGAACAAGATAATACATTTAAAGTACCAAAAGTACCACAACCTGCTCATAATAAAAGGTCAAAAAGATTTTTAAGAAGTTCAAGTGACATTTCTGCGAATATACGGCAAAAAGAGATTAAGAGAAATATATGGCATGCGGAAATGATAAAAGAGGAAAGTGTTCGGCAAAGAAGCAGTGTAAAATTATACAGAAAGTACAGAATTGGTGACTTTCCAGATATTGAAATATCACATGCTACATTGCTAGAACCATTACAACAATTAGCAAAGAACGATCAATTAATTTGTAAAGATTTGATAGTACATATCGTTTGCTCGTTAATTGAAAAATGTGGACAAAATGGTTTTACAGAAGAGCTTGCATCTAGTATGAAACAGATTTTGAGAAATGAACAAAATAGCAATTTTACTATCACTGCAATTTTAGAGATATTATTGAACGCTTCTATAACAGACTGTGCACCAGAAATTATTGCAAAAGCTGCGAGAGCGAATAGTTTGAACTTCCTTGGATCACTCGTTTTAGAGGAAAGTTTGATTTATGGGACACGAAATATCTCTCAACCACCTCTAAAGAAGGTACGAAACGAAATTGCGGCCGAATGGTTGCATCTGTCGAATCTTTATAAATCTATGAATGATGTTGATGTAGTTCTTAGCATTTTTCAAAATCACATCACAAATGAAGATATGCAGGTACGTATTTTTCTTCGATAATGAGATTGCTTATGATAACAATTCCTTCAAAATTTTAGATTGCATCGTTTTCTCAAGCATCTAACAAATGGGAAAAAGCTAAGATAGCATACAAGAAGGCATATGAAACGGAATTAGACTTAGTGAAGGAACATTGCCTTCAAGGTTTGTTCGAATGTTTAAGTAATTTATGCAGTTGGGACGAAATTGATACGCACATAAAGGACAAAGTTGACAGAAATTTAGACAATATTTGGAATGATCCATGGAAAGATTGGATGTTCCCCTGGATGTTTACAGTGCATGTCCATAGACTGATAAATGAAGACGATAGTGAGGAATTTCAAAATGATTTGAAAATTATGGAATGTTGGTTGAAGGATGTAGAGAAGACAAGACATATGAAACGATTCTTTGGGGAGGAATGTTCAATGTTCTTTTTGCATAATCAACTAGAGGTTGCCCGTGAATTTTTACTAAATTCGTTGGATGAGATAAGAGAACAGTGGATCAGGCTTCATCCGCTTTCTACACAATTAAGAATTTGTAAATTACAGAAGTTGCGAGTCATTAACGATATAAATAAGTTTATAAAGAGTTTGAAAACAGTAGAATCATCGCGCGATTTAAACGAGATATTGAATTTTTGGAATAACAGTATGCCTTCAGCATTAGATGATGTACTTCCTTGGGATAAATTAGTATCTTATAGAACATATTTCATTAACAAATTACTTAATGACAAGCTGGAGGAATGGACTGAGAATGATATGGACAGTAATCCTGATGAAAACGAAAATTCAATTGCCTATAGACTGCGCGCGATTACTTTTGATATGAAATTGAAAATGGTCGAAGCATCGATAAATCAGAAGAACAAATACGTAGCAAAACATTATATACAACAGGTAGAACAAAATATCAAATCTTATCCGCCGATCTGTTTCAATGAATTTTTATTATTTTGTGGGAAATTAAGATATCTGATGGGAGATATTGAAACGAACGTTCAGAAGAAGCTATCCCATTACACTCATTCTTGGAAACATTGTCACGATCTTTTGCAACAAAATCCTATTGCTGATACTACGAATGTTAATAGTCGAAAGCAAATCAGTATGATAGCATCAAGAATTGTACAGTTTAGCGAAGAAAATGAAATGTTCGCAGAATTGTTAAGAGAAAATACTACAATTTTAAAAGAAATAAATGTCAAGAATAACGATTTATCCGATATTAAAAATACACTGGAAACTTATAGTTTTAATCACTTGAAAACATGCTGTGATATGACGACAAAAAATATTAAAGAAAGCTATTTCAGTCTTGCAAAGTATTGCTATGATAAATTATCGCATGATTCCAATGACATTCAATTAAGTAAAGAATTTATTCATTCCATATTGAAAGCCATGAGTTACGGATCTCTTGAGGCAGCCCATTATTTCCCCTGCTTGTTAAAACCTGAATATTTCCACAGTCAAGAAACAAAGGATATTTTTATGAAAGAGATTGAAAGTATTGATACTTGGTTATTCCTTTCTTGGCAGGCCCAATTATTTTCTCATTTAGGAACATCAATTGCTCCTTTAATTATACCAATCCTTAGACGGATTGTTAAAACTTATCCTAACGCAGTTATTTACACGTTTCGTTTAACAGTGGAGACAAATCCTGCTCTCCTAAATGAAACTAGCACTTATGAAATTCGACAAATTCTTTATAATAGACCGGAAATCGATCGATTTCTGACAGCAATGCACTATGTAGTCCAACCAGAATTATATTTACAACACTATTTGATCGAATTTAAAAAAAATTTATCTCTGGGTATAGCTACGGCTGTCGATATACTTCTAAACAAAGTATATCCAAGTTCACGGGAGAACAAACATGAGCCAAAACCAGGAAATATCTTTAATGAGATCGCGCCTTACAAAACTAAAATAAAGGAGTTAGAAAACAAGAAAATTGAAGAAATTAAATTACAGGTAGACAAGATAATCGAAAATATTAATATGTCACTTAAGAAGCGTAAAGATCGATTCAAATTGCGAGATTACAGTCCGTGGTTGTGTAATTTCCCTGAGAGAGACGTAGAGATACCTGGCCAGTATATTGCCAATAGGAAACCTATGCCTCAATATCACGCAAAAATTTTAAAGTTTGAATCTACTATAAAAGTAATGCAGTCAATTCGCAAACCTATTCGAATTACTATGATTGGTAATGATGCAAAGGACTATCATTTCCTGGCAAAATTTGGAGAAGATCTACGACAAGATCAAAGGTTGCAACAATTGTTTACTCTCATGAACAAGACGTTGCAAATCGATGCAGCTTGTAGACAAAGACAATTGTCTATTGATACTTATCAGGTAACATATTCTTCTAAATAACTTATAGGATAAATATAAAATATTAGAAAGATGATTCATTTTTCAAATGCAGGTGATTCCCTTGTCCAAAACAGTGGGTCTTATACAATGGGTAGACAATACAAGATCGTTGCAAGAGTTGATAAATTTCACTCTGTCAAAGCAAGAAATAAATCAATATGATTTTATATATAAACTCTATCACGAGTGGATCGAAAGTGGATCTTCTTCTAAAAAGAGGCATGAAAGATATAAGGAAGCAACAGTGAAGTACAACGCCTCAAAAGTGATCAATAAAATGAATGAATTTATTGGTAAAACAGGATGGAACAGTTTACGCAAGACATTGACCGTATTATGCCCATCCATAGAAAGTTTCATTACGATCCGCCGAAATTTTATTACTTCCTATGCTACCATGTGTATTGCACATTGGATCTTAGGCATTGGTGATCGACATTTGCAAAATATTCTTATTGTTATCGATTCAGGCCGCTGTTTAGGCATCGACTTTGGGTTAGCTTTTGATGCTGGTGTTGATCAAAGAATACCAGAGTTAATGCCTTTTCGCTTAACACCTCAAATCTTGGGCTTACTGAAACCTTTCACTGAAAAGGATCTTTTAGGAGCGATAATGATTCATGCGTTACGAGCACTCAGAAACGAACAAGGTCCCATTCTGTCTTGCATGGATGTGTTCATTCATGAACCTCTGAATTGGACTGAACACATTAACAAAGCAGTAAGAGAAAACGAGGAAGATGTTGCAGGTAATTTTTAATTATATGTAAGATGAATTTTAATTCTTAAATGAATGTATGAGAATAGCGTGATTATTTCCGTTTTATCCAAATTGTAGATATAAAGTGGGTTCCAAAAAGAAAAATCAAAGCTGTCACAAAAAAATTGAATGGGATTAAACCATCTTTGGTTACATTAGATCAATTGAAAGAGCAACATTATGATAAGTATTTCGATAGATATTACACTATTGTTAGCGGTGATGATGACATCAAACGTCCACGAGCAAAAATGAAGAATGATTTTCTAACTCCCGAGGAACAGGTAATATTTTGGAAACCTTATTTTTGTAATCATTTGACAATAAAATTCTTAACATTTTTAGATTGAATGTTTGCTGGATCAAGCAACTGATTTAAATATTCTAGGTCGTACGTTTGTAGGATGGAAACCATGGCTTTGAAAAGTTTATATTTATAATATTTTTATAATATATAATTATGATAATCTCTACTATAATATAGTTTTGTGTACTATTATATGTATAAATCACATCAGAAATAGTATACTATTGTTACACAATTCTGTTTTTCTCTTTTTACATTTTTTTATGTGTTTTACAATTTATTATATAAATAAGTCCTTATTTTTCTAAATTGATAATTTACCAAAAAACCTGTGATTTATATATATATATATTTATATTTATACATTATGTAGTATATTGTTTTAATACAATTTTTAATATTTGTCGAAAATAATCGTGTATTGTTAATTTTTGTTTTTAAATAAATCGTATTGATTGTGCATTGTAAATTGTAAACATTTAAAATTTTTTTATTAAATTATTAAAATTGCTGATGAAAACAAACATAAAAATGTAGAATTTACATTTTATTTTTAATTTTTCTTCATTTAACAACTATTCTATAATATTAACTTTCACATACAATAAATTATATTCACATTATATTCAAATTATCTTAACTGTGATTAATTGAATCATCATGCGAATCGTCATCAGTTAGTGCGTAATTAGGAATAAATGGTTTTTCATTATATAAAATCGAGATCTTCGAAAATTTTTTCTTGTCCAAACCACTCTTTTAGTGAGTTTTTATAGAAATTAACTTTGTATTTCACAAAACGTTTACAATATTTACGGTATAATATATTACAATAAATCATCTGGGAATTATTTAACATTGATGCAACTGATCTTGCAATTGCGCATATCGCGCTTGCAGCACGCGTTCTCGTTCTGTTTGTCTGTTAACGTCTTCCATAAGTGCGTTTACCCGTCTTGGTACGGCTGCTTCTTCTTGTGTTTGCAAAAATTTGAAGGTTGAAAGTTCTAAATGTGCTTGTTCTATTTGTTCCCATAAATCATATAATTGTTTTGTTAACACTTGTGTTCTAGTCTGTAATACAAAAAAATTAATATATAAATATTATTTATATGTACTTCAAGAGGAATTTCATATGTTAAAAATAAAAATATTATGAACCTGATATCCTCCAGTAAGGACCTTCAATTTTTTTTCCATTCTTGCTGCTCGTTTCGCTTCACCAGTCATATGCATGCGATTTTCTTCCAACTTTCTTTCGCATGCTTCTACTCTATCCTTTTTTGAAGCTAATGTTGCTCGTGTGTATCGTTTTTGTGTTTCCAGATATAATATCTAATAAAATATAATAACTATTATAATTATCAAATTGAAAATATTTTAAGCATGAAAAATCCTCCCAGTACCTCTGATAAACATTCCTCCCATACAGTTGTATAGGAATCCGAACTTAATTCTCCATGCGCCATACCTTCTTTTACTATAGCCATTTCATCAGTTAAAAGCTTCTTTGCCTACATGAAATATTTGTTAAAATTAATTATAAATTTATATAGAAAATAGAAAAAAAATATAATACTTACAGCAGCAAGTTCTTCTTTTTCAAAATTAACATACGGATGTTGCTCTAAGTAAGCTTGAGCTTGAGCTACTGAATTTGAGGAACCTTTACGATTTTGTTGTATTGGATTTTGTAATGCATCATACTGTAGCATAGTGATCATTTCTCTTTTAATTAGTTCTTCCGCCTAGAATGATATATCCACAATAGTTGTATACATTATACTTATATATATATACACATTATATGTATAATGATTATACAATCATACCCTTTGCAAATCTGTTAATGGAGTATCCATAAATGGCCTCAAAATGTTCATATTTACATCAGCTGGTCGTGGTAAATCTCGTTGTATAACTTGAGATCTCCTAGACAATTCCTTTTTTCCTGTGAAATATAATATAGTATTAATACATAAATTAATTTCTAACAAAAAATACACATTTATTTCACTGCTAATGCATTATATACTTTGTTCCATTAACTCTTGCTGTTGCCTAGCATCTATATCAGCCTGGTCTTCTACAATTTCTGTCGTTATTGAAGTAACATCTTCGTCTTTTGTTTCTCCTTCAGGAACTACTATTTCATAGTCATTACGTGGTGTTGGAAGTGCGTTTAATCCGGCACGTAATTGTTCCTTTACTTGTTTCTGAATTAACGGAGTCTCTGATCCATCCATATTTTCGTCCGGATTAATACTAAGCTTGTCACGAACTGGTGTAGCTGCTAATACTCCATTTTGCGTTCGTGTAGATGCTGGCGTATTAAATGAATTAGTTGGCGTTCCATCGCTTCGCTGCGACCGAAATGGAGTAGCCAAAATTGTATTTGGAGTTGCCACGGCGTTCGTAGAAGGTACAACACCAGTGAAATCAGAATTATTTAATGGTGTATTTAATCCACCTGTATGGAAAATAAAGCGACAAAATTAATATCAAATACGGTTTTTTAATAGTTTCTACCTCACACAGTTATATCAACCTTTTAATGGAGTATCAACATGAGTAAGAGCCATAACATTTTGAGCTTCTTGAAGTATTCTATCCGCAGCAGCCGGAGTACGCGGAGTTACGGCTGCATTAGTTGGTAAAGAATAATCAGCCAATAAACTATCTGACAATGTGATACCACTTTCTGTTGCAACTTCGCGAGCAACCTATTATGGATATATAATATAAAATATAAATTCTTGCATCTAATAGAATATAATAGAATAATAGAAAATAATAGAATATGTTAACTAATAGATACCTCTGATGCTCTACCAAGCTTAACTACTTGTTGTAGTTCCTGATCAGATATTTGTGGTTCTGGTAAAACAAGCTTACTTCTCTTTTTTATTGGTTCTTCATTATTTAACATTCCCATTGGAATGTCGTTTTCTTTTCGTTGTTTCAATTTTTGTTTGTCTTTTCTACGTTCCATTTCTTCTTTTTCTTGTCTCAATTCTCCATCTAAATGTTGCTGCCTCATCTTTGAGAAGTCAATAGCAAGAGGATCAACATGTTCATTAGATGTATCATAAAAGCCAGATGCTGGTCGTTTTTCAAACGGAATCTCAGAATTGTAATTGACCCCACGTTTGCGTTTATTCTTTTGTGATACTGTAATGCCAGCAGCTCTCAATTCTCGACGCTTCTGCAAAGCAGCGAGTCTGCGAGCTTCCTCTAATTGTTTTTCTCTAGCTTTACGTTTCGCCTTTTTACCCTGTGTATTTGCAAGCCTGGCACGTGCCTCAGACAACATTTCCAATTCTGAAAATTACTAATTTTATTGTTGTTACATACAATAGAAAAGGACAGCGTTGAAAATGAAAAGCTTACCATCTTCATCCATATCTTTAGGGTCAGGTCTGGCTGGTTTTGTTTCAGGATTTGGATCAATTTCTCCTGGTTTCAACTTGCGAGGATCATCTGCAGTATCATCTCCCTCTTCTTTTTTTTGAGCTTGATCTCTAATAGGAGAACATAGAACATACAAAACTCATTTCTTGAAATATGTTAGTATAAATTTATAAGATACATTTAACTTACAGCAAATATTCGTAACGTTCCAAGCATTGTGCAGCTGTACGTCCTATAATCGGAGCAATTGTTCTCCATTGAGTAGGCATTAACTTTGCAAGATGAAGAAGCTTTTCATCTTCTTCTCTGCTCCACTCTGTTTTTTTAATACTAGGATCTAACCATTCGAACCAACGTGCTTTACATTGCTTAGCAGACTTTCTATGTAAAAGAGATGCTATCCGGCTCCATTGATTTTTGCCATATTTCATTACAGCAGCTTTCAAGATTTCATCCTGAGAAAAGAAAATATTAATAGAAAAAGCCATTTCCTAGGGATCAAAACGTAAATAGAGGTTAGAAATCAATTTTTACCTCAGTGTTCCGCCAAACACCACCTTTTATCATAATACGCGGCATATTTATATATTTTTTACTATCATTCAAAAAAACAATAAAAATTGAAAAATTTTCACTGATTTTATATATATGTATATTTATTTGATAATTAATAACAGCTTCATTGGGTAACCTAGCGACGCGGTACTCGCGGCTTGCGACAGTAACAGCAACATTCAATGCGACATATCACAGGACAAAACTATAGAGTACAGTGATGTTGCCAAACGTAGGGAAAATATGGCGGCATAGGGACATCATCATGTTGAAGGCAGCAGTAAAGAAAAGAATAGAATTTTTTTGACAATAAAATTTTACACACATCTATATCTAAGCAAAAAGAATGTTTTTTTTCTTAAATATATATATAGTTATAAATAAAGTATCGTGATAGGATAAAGAAACTACAAAGTTTAATAATATAGCATGACAATTATTACATATTGTTATAGTAAATAAACGTACACTTATATTTAAGATATATGAATTTTTTATTATTTCACAGTACGGTAAATAAAAAAAGTAATATTTTTTTAAACAAGTTACAGCTACACAATCTTAATCATAAATATTCTGTAACATATTAATGTATCTACATACACAAACATATGTATATCTATAGATATGTTTAAATTTATTACCAATGTAAGCTGTTTTTCATGTACAATGCTTGTATTTTTTTTTTTTTTGTAATTACATTAAGGACGTATATACATATAATTAAAAACTAATGATTAATTTAAAACTTTTCTGCTTTATTAGATTTTCTTTTGATATTTCAAAACAAAGTATTTTCTATTATATAAAGTTTTAGTTTATCAATACAAAGTAATGGAATATTGATATTCACGACTAATGTATTGAATTCAAAAATTTAAATAATTTGTGTTTAATTGTATATATTAATAAGAATACATAGCTTATAAAATTTTGTTATTAAATATGTATCATTGCTTCAATTGCTTATATTATTACTTTTTTTCATAAGTAAATTGTTTTAAAAATATCACATACAAATTACTTTTTAAAACTTATGTCAAATATTCATTTATATATTACATTCTTTTAAATGTTTGCTCTATTTCATATAAATCAATAATTATACAGAAATAAATATAAGTGAATATATACATATACATTCGTACAGTTGCTAAGGCAGTGAATTGAATATTATATTATTTATATTATATTGAAGCTGCAAATAAGTAAATAATAAAGGTTTTAAGTGTATGTAGAATTTATAAATAATTATTAATTACTATACAATATTCATTTGCACTTTTCAATAGTAAATTATTTTTTAGTTAAGAAATAAGATCAAATTAAATTAAATTAAATTAAATTAAATTAAATTAATGAATGATTTAATTATTTACAATATAATAATATATTATGTTCATTGGTAATTCTTTTGTCATTATAAATTTCTTAAATACTTATACGACTTTAATACAATAAGTACAATATACCATTTACATCATCTTCATTAATGATATGTGAAAAACAACATTTAATGTAGTTTTTTTGCAAATTGCTTTTGAATTTCAAGGCTTCCAACTGAGAAAACTATCTTGTATATATATTTGTTTAAATATACTATGTGCACTAGACTGCGGAGCTTTACGATTACGTTGAGCTTCTAAAATGTATGAAACCTTTTCCCTTGCCTCACTACGAGAAATATCACCTCTGAGGCCCAATAATCTGACTAAATGATCTTCAGTCATGTCTGGATATTTTTCAACCAAAGAATGTAGATCAAGAGAAAGAATTTCCGAATCTTCGCAACGTAATACTTCCGCAAGACGTTTGATTATTTCAAAGGGCGAATTAAAATTTCCTACTTTTGGAGCTATTCTATCGAAGAAATTTTTTAATTTATCAGATTCTGTCATTATTTTTGATGTACATGTTAAACATTCATCATACGTTTTCAAAGATATCTTCCTTTGTAACATTGCGGAAATATAACGCTTTGCAATAAGATTTTGTGCTTCTGTAATAACATAATCAAAATTTTTTGGGCATAGGTGATTGTAATCTTGAAAATAATCTTCTAAAGTTACACAAATGGTTTCTACTGGGATAGGAGATAATAACCATTTGGGAGTAATCAAATCTTGAAATTGCAATTCTAAATCAAGAAAAGATTCTTCTAGCAATATGGCTGCAGCTTCATTTCGTAATTGTTGATAATTAAACAATAAATTTTCGAATTTAACAGTAGCATCTCCACTAGCATTAGCAACCCAATACAGCTGCTTCATTTGTTGTGCTAGTTCTGTAAACTGCAAACAATTATTAACAATTGTAATCATATGATGTGTAAAGTATGGTACTTGACTTCTATCCTCAAAATGTTTGTTTTTGAATTCCAATATTGCTTGTTTGTACATAAATCCATATTTAATTACTTGTTCAATACATAAAACTATAGCATGTGCTGTTAATTCAGTACTAATTGTTTTTGTAACTTGAAGATTCTGATCTATCATCTGAAATATAATCACAGGTGCTGCTGTGTGATAGTATGCTTCTTGAGTGCTTCCTTCTGGCAATATTCCACTCCACCAGTCGACTTTCTCAGTTTCCAAAGTCTTTTTCATCCAATCTTCATAATTTTGACACATATTCTTCAAATACTTCTCTTGTAGATCAGTTATAATTTCAGGACTCAACAAAGGGCCTATGTCACTTGTATCAATATTTAATTCTGGATGTTGCATTAATTCTGGGCCAGTATAAGTATTCATAATCCATGATAATAAAGATACATATTCATTTCCTTCCAGTCCATTGGCAATTATATCCTTTAAATGTTGCGACAGACTTGTATGATACATCTTAACAAAAGTTCTTACAATATTGTACCAAGGTGGAAAACAAGGTTCACAAAGAGTTTTAGCAACTCTCAAATCTTCTAAAATCAAAAGTCTTGTAAGTTCTAAATACCTAACTAGCCACATTTTGTTATCTGCTCTTTCCTCGACATGAGTTCCTTCAATCCTATTGGCTACAGATTTTTCTAAAACCTTCATTGCCATATCTTTCCATTTCTTAGGCCTTCCTGGTGGCATAAATCCACTTTGCTTATGTCTTTGAATAGCAAAATGATCTGCTTTTTCTTCTCTTTCTATGATTCTCAATGCTGTTACAATAACAGTAGGTTCCTTTCTTACTGTGTTTAATGTACGACTTAATACTAATCTAATTTGTTTCTCCATTAACTCAGAAAGCATTTCAACATCCTCTAAATAAGCTTTCAACATAACAGTATCAGCTGGTGATTGATTTGGAAGTTTGTGAAGTTCATAAAGCAGATCATCTCTTGAATTTTCAAGATCCATAATAATTTGATGGGCATACAAAAGATTCCCTTGGTTTATCCATTGTTTGGTCATTTCAACGCTTTCTGGCAAAGTAAACGTGTGTTTCAAGTTTTCTTTGGCGGTAACATATTGAGAATGACGCATGTTTTCCTCTTGAACAGCTTGCAACTTAGTGCTAAGTTCTGGAACTTTACTGAACAACTTGCCAATATCATTTAGATCCTGTTTTATAGAAGCACTACTTTCTAAAGAACTCTGAAGCTGTTCAAAACCTACACGAACTCCATCTAATTGACTTTGCATTGCAGTTTTGAGCATAGTTTCCACGGAAGCTTTTTTCCGGGCTATTCTACGTTTGTACATATCAATTTTTTCCAATTGACCTGGTCGTTGCAATAGATTACACCCATATTTTGTTGCTTTTGCCTTAGCCTCTTCTTCCAATTTTTGTAAGTCTTCCATCTTCAAAGCCATTCTGCTAGTCTCTTATTTTACAAACTAATATTTTACTTTACACTTTTCGATAATTACAAAAAAACAAGGAATAACAGTTTTTCTTAAATAGATTCATTTAAAGAAAAACCATGCAGATTATTTTGACATTTATAAAACCTTGGTTAGGCATGTACTTAAGATGCGTTTACATTGAACAGTTTTGTCAATTATCAACATATAAACTCGCCTATTTGAAATGAACTTATGTCCTGCTGTGTAAATGCACATTGTCCTATTATGTACATATTTGTTCCATAAGAAGCCAGCTTGAATATTTGAATATACGAAACCAGCTTGAATATACGAAAGAGTGGGTTGAAAGAATTTGTTCTATTTTCAAAATAATAATTCATAGTACTTGTAGAATTTTATAGTATAATTGTAATTCAAAAATGCATTTTTTAAAAAGACTGTCGAGAATAATCGACTTGCATTATAAACACCATTCAAGGAGATGTTTAACCTCCAACTCTAATACGGGTGTAAAAATTGAAGCAGAACAAGACAGTAAAGAAATTAATTGTTACTTATAATATTATGTAACATTTTATTTTTTATGAGCTATGAAACAAATTCATTCATGTATATACTTAACATGTAATTATGATTGTACTTAGTTTCAGAAAAAAATATTTTAGTGGAGCATTTTGAGGCAATTACTTTAATTGGTATAAATCGACCTGAAAGCAAGAACGCTTTAAATGTTGCAACTGCACAAAAATTGTCAGATAAATTAGATGAATTTGAAAATGATGAAAATTCTGTAGTTGGAATCCTTTATGGTACAGGAGGAAATTTCTGTAGTGGTTATGATCTTAAAGAAATTGCACAATATAATGGAAAAAATGAAGAAGTTCTACCTCAGTTTGGATCATTGGTAAGTTAAACAAGTTTAAAACTATGTTGTGTTTAAAATTATATAATATTATGGTATTAATCTTTCTGGTATGGAATGTTCATAGGCTAATAAAATTGAGTTATGTAAAAAACCCTTAATTGCTGCTATAAATGGATATGCTTTAGGGATAGGTTTTGAACTAGCCTTAATGTGTGATCTCAGGGTAATGGAGAAAGGTGCAGTATTAGGATTTGCAAATAGAAGGTTTGGAATACCTATATTATGTGGTGGTACTGTTCGATTACCTGCTTTAATTGGTTATTCAAGAGCAATAGAGCTGATATTAACTGGTCGTTATATTGATGCGAAAGAAGCACATTCATGTGGTTTAATTAATCGTCTTACAGAAACTGGCAGTGGTATAGTTTATTTTATAGTAACAAATAATGAAATGTATAGATACATCAAAAAATATGGTGAAATTATATTGGCATATTTTTTTTATTTATAGTATTAGGTATAGCAGTGAATTTTGCAAACTCACTTGTGAAATTTCCTCGAAAAACATTACTTGCAGATCGTGCTTCTGCATATTTTGCTACATTTTCTGCTAAACAGTTAGAAGAAGCTGTACAATTTGAGAAAGACAATGCATCTCATTTAGTATTTGAAGAAGGAGTTGCAGGTGCAAAAAGGTTTGTTACAGAAGGATTAGGAAAGCATGGAAAATTTTACAATATTACAGAAAGGAAAACTAAATTCAAAGAACTTGATAAAGAATTTTTATAAAAATTCTTGTTCTCAAAGACATATATACATATATATGAAATTTCATATAGTTGTATAATATATTTATTTAAAAAAATATATATAAGTTTTGTAATGTGATTAAATTTCTTTGTTATAAATACAGTTATACTATTCTATGTGTATTAATGCCTTTTTTTAAAGAAGATTTAGCAGATGAATTTTTCTTAAGAAAGGCATGAGATCTTAGTAATGTATCAGTGCACCTCTTTGCTGCTTTTCCAGTAAGGAGTGGTATTATGTTAATCATTTGGCCATGTATATCTCCTACACAAATTATATTCATTGAAAATATAATATTTCATATGAGATTTAAAACTTACGTTCAAATGTAACTATTATATATGTCAAATCCACTTGAAAAACATCAAAACCAGATGTGTGTGGTTGAAAAAAGGAAACTTTCTTTAATTGACAATTGATTTCATCAGATAAATCAAATTCAGCTAAAAATATGTACTTTAATTTACATTTATTAAAGTTAATAAAAAAATTATTTGGATATAATTCGCTTACTTGTATCATCCAATCCTACTACATTTCGAATATAATTCAATATTAACTTAAGTGGACAATTAATATTTACTAAGATTTCTTTATCTACATTCTTCAATTGTGTATCTTTTTCATTATTATTACTAATAGGAACTGTATGAAATATATATGATATATTATTTATTTAATGTATATTATATGAAAATATTCTTACTGGAATATTTGATTCGTATAATCGACGTCATACTTCGTTGCATATAACGTTGCTTCTAGTAAGTTTCAACGTGTGAATACAGAAGTAAATAATACAGAAGTAAACGATAAATAAATTAGAACAATACAAAAGTAAACATAGAATAAATTTATTAATTCATTCTACGCATCCTGTTTGCATGATACAAGGTTAAAATAATTGAAAGTCATTTGATATTTCATTGCTACTTGTGCATCTAGTTCCTGAATTGAATTTTTGAGTTTTTTTTTTGTAATTCTTAGAAAATGAAATACGATTGATTTATATATTTATAATATCCAATAGTACAGTATCTCAACATTTATATAGAAGTTATATAATATCCAGCATATATTTTATATTTAGTTTCGCAAGAGATAACATAATTCCTTATTTATTTGAAAAATGCTTTCTATAATTTTAAATCATAAAGTTAATAAAGTAATTGACATAAAGATCATTGGATATTGCATATTATTGAGCTAACAATATGTGCATTGGATGCGCTTTGGATTATAGTTAGATTCTCTCTAGAAGGAGCTGACACGTTCATTCAGTTGGAATTTCAAATAATCGTGGAATTTCATATTCAAGTTGAACAACGACCGTCCGTAGGTTTAATTAGCGAAAGTAATGCGAGCCGGCTAACCACCATCGAGCCGGTTAAAGTATGATGAAACGAGTGCAGGTGGCGGTGCATTGTTGCGCAATCGTTCATATCCCTCCTTTTCCTTCTTGTAGCCAGGAGTCAGGACAAGAGTTCTCTTGGTAACCAGAAGGCTCCCCCACCAGGTGCCTTCCTCCTTGCCCGACCTGATGAATGTTACGCACACATTAAATTTATATGATTTTGTTTTTTCTTTCGTTTCTTCCTTCTATTTCATCTATTCTAAAGATTTGATCCTTTTTTTTGCTAATCTTTTGTATTGAATAGTTACATTTCTTTTTTTTGCAAGTGGAAGGTAGATGTCAGGATGATTCTGGAATTTAATTGAAGAAATTGCTTAAATATTGATTATTGTAATAGAGATAAATAGATGACATTATAGGATTTCGTCGAAAGAGATGAAAAGCTATGAAAAGATTTTTATTTGTTCAGTAAATCAAAGCTTCCAGCAACGATAGACTATAGTTACTTTGTTTAGTATATTCAATTTAAGATTTTCGATTATTCTTCAAAGTATTTTTTATTCTCTAATGATAAAAAATAAAAAAACTCTAAAGCTATTTCTTAAATAAAAAAATTTTTACAATTTGTGTCTATTTAAATTTTGAAATTTACGAAGTTCTTATATGAGCTTCTGCGCAGACGCGTAGTAGTTCACGCAGGCGCACTACTGTTTGCATCGACAATCGCAAGTGTTTAAAAATTATACGGAAACGCGTGTGAATATATTAAAATTCTGCTCATTAAAAACTATTAAATATTACTAAAAAATTTCACAAATTCAATAAAACGAAATTTAATATCAATAAAATGAATTTGACATATAATTACAGATCTGTCATTTTTGAACAGTTGGTATTTGAGAACAAGTGACACGAAATCCCGTAAGAGGTCAGATTTGTTCTGTATTTCATCTGTAGTTTAAATTGAATAGCCGTTCGTTCGAACGTATATGGTGTATGATATTTATTGCTGAAAATATTTTCGTACTGTACTTTTTGAAGAAATCAACCAAATTCTATTCTTCGTACGTGTTTACGTGTATTAACGTAAACTTAAACGTATTACTCCTCGAGTAGTTCGTGACATGATCTGTTGCGCGAGAGGTTAGTCCATTATCGAAAATCATGGCGCCAAGATGTATCTTCTTGCGTGATGTTTATTAACTGCGTAATATTTTCATTTTCATTCTTTTCTCATTCATATTTCATTCATATTAGTATTCTTAAATATTGTTTCCTTTTTATATAATTTGTGCCTTTTATACATTTATTTGAAAGTCTTTGTTTTCTTTTGTACAGATTATTGATTGATTACGAGAATCGATGAAAATTTGAAGCATTACGAGGGATGCTACAGTGATGTTGAATTCAATAGTTTTTTATGGAGATATGGTAACTTTTTATTTTTATTGTATTATTAGCAACATCTATCTAATATTTAATATATATTCATTTGAAAAAGACAAATAATTTTCGGAAAAGGGCGCCATCACAGAAAAGTTCAAATTCTGCGCATCGTGTCTTTTACGTATTGCGCAGCTTCGCTTGATGAAAGTGCGCGCCACATATGAATAACACGAAGTATATTTGAAACTTCAGTAACACATATTCAGAGTTACAATTTATATAGATTAATTGTATTACGTAATATTTATAGGTATTTGACAATGTTAAGAAATACTTTATAACGTATAATAATATGTTAAATATATTAATCATATATTTCATATTCTTATTATATTTCTTTATTTATGATAAATATTTGTAGAAACATTTTTATATTTAGAGATAAATTTTTTATTATTTCAAATTTCTTAAATTTTTAGTACTATTTTTATGAACAAATATACTTCTTTACAGACTTTTTCCAGTCTTCGCTTCTTTCGTGGATTCAGCGATTCCTATTTGATGTTGGGTGTTACAATGATTTTCCTTATGCAATAATAACACTGGTGACAACGTTCTTCACATCTAATTGTGAGTCGCATGCATTTTTGTTCCTCTGGTCACTCAATCATGTTGTAGGATGAAAGGTCCAAATCGACACGAGTGACTGGTTGTATTACATAGAACTTTGACGAGCATAGTGATCACGAGTATTTATTACACTCGTGAGCAGTAACATTTTCTCGCTTGTGTTTTATTTTTTTAGCTTAGGATAGGTTTTCTTGCACATAGTGTTTTTGAATGTTACTAATAATGAATTAATTTTTACATTGATATAATATTACAATATTGGTATGAATAATGATATTGATAATTAATTCAAAATCACAGAATATATATTCATTAAAATTATTTTGTGCAAGAAGACACATCGCGATAGACAGATTTCAGAATCAAAGTAACAGTTTTGAATATTATTTTTCTATTTATAAAGATTTACTTTGATGAAGATATCGTCTAAGGATATTTTATCAGTAGTTCATTAAGAGTTCATTATTATTCATTGAATTTTATATTATTTGCACTGAATTTTATTTCCTTCCTCAATAAATATATTCATTATATTCCTTCCTTCATCCACACATAGCATTTCAGTATTTTATTACCAGATTATAAAGTATTCATTGAAAATTGAAATAAAATAAAGAAAGTATAACATAAGGAATATTAGTTCGTTAGATGCAAAATAGATATGTTAATCACTTTTTTAGTTCAGGATTTTCAGATTTAATCATTTCCATATTCATTGCTAGGACCTCAGTCATGTGCCCAGGTGCTACTTGGCTGGGAGAAAGGCAATGGGTATGATGACCATAGTTTATAAGTTTAATAATTTCTCAGCGACTGACGATGTTAGTGTATCGCGCACGACACATTTTTCGCATGTGTGTATATGGTTAGGATGTGGAATTGCGTCGTTTTTGCTGTTATTTCAAGCAACGTGTAATAATAATAATTTTCAATTTCACACTTACTTTCGTATTATTTGTTTCAAATGTTATGAATATTTATACACTACGGTCATAAATATTTAATTGAAATTGAAATTGAAATAGAAATACATAAATATTTTATTCAAATAGAAATACATATATAGGTATTTTAAGCAATGGTCGCTGGCCTTCGTCAGTCGATTTCAGGAAGATGGTACGTAAATTAGAGTGTGAATGTCGTGTGCGACACTCGGGTGTCGGAGGTGTCCCGGGACGTCCTCTCTAGTTTAGGTTTGCGCCCGGGTGTATGTGTGAGAACCGTGGAGTGAGTGTGTTGGTGTGCCTGTCTTTTGCCACTTTTTAAATATAGGGCGGCTGAATAGGATAGGTAGCTTACATTCTGGTATGTGTGCTTTAATTATAAGTAGGTAGGGCCGGGCAGGTTGGCACAGTCTCTGGTCGCGTGCACTCTCGCGTGTCTAACCTGTTTCTGGAAATGCAATTTGGGAAATCGAAGATTCGGCTGGCACGAGTGGAGCATGCCTCGTCGCTGGCTTTATCTATCGATTTTTCGAATTTCGCGGTCGTGGACGCGTGATAGATTTCGAATCGAACGTTCGCGCTCGAGATTTTGCGCTTCAATTAGCTTCGATATTTTGTCTTTTTTTTTTTTGTCGGTTCAGACAATCTCGAGCCTAGATGTAAGTTTCAGCGAGCATTGCGCTCGAAGAAAGAAGAGGCTATAAGTCGAAGAGGCCCGGCAAATTGCCACAGAAGAGGGCAACTACTAATGGCTTTTCATCTTCTGGACGGGATATCCATCCAGAGCATGGATAGTCATTCTTGTTACTACTTTGTCACTATGCTCGTATTTATAGCATGTAGTTGTAATATTTCCTTTTGGCTGATATGTATCGATCCATCACCACATTGGTCAAATCGCGATTTTCCATTCGCGTTTCGAGAATTTGATTGGTTTTATTAGAGTTGCGAAAAAACCGATGACTTCGGTTTGACTTCAATATTATAATGCAATACTGTGATTTTTCTTAGATCTATTTTATCATAAATTAATGCAAATGTTTTAAGTATTTTATCAGAATTTGTTGGCGTGTTTTCTCTTATAGATGTAATTTAACTTCCAGGTTCGCTTTCAGCGTTAGATTTTTCAAATTTTGAGTTTCGTTACATTCGAGTGCGAATTTTATTTCTCCTGAAATTTTTCTCAGTTTCAAATGACATAAATGTCGAGTAACGTTCGTAGAGAAAGGGGTGGAATCAGTGTTCTCGATGTATACTCGCGAGTGATGATAATGGTGAGGCGAAACGTGGAAAAAAAGAGGAGTATAAAGGATAGAAGGGCGGTTCCCAGGATCTTCTTTCTGATTAGACTCGATGTATACGTGGCATTTGAGAGGATGATGCTAGAGCCTTTCACGAATCACCACTCGATTCTACAATGTGTTATTGTTGTCGACGAGCTCGCGAAACAAAAGTTCCTTTCGTTGGGAGAGGCAAATCGATGCGTTTGTGTTCTTTACGAGGAAGCGAGGTGTGAAAGTTGTACGCAGTTACGTCTGATTGTTTCGAACATTTCTAATGGTTGTTTATTACATAAACAGAGAAAACGTGACGAGGTTCCGATCTAAAATTTTCCAAGTTTCAGATATTTTTTTTTTATAAGTGGGAATTTTTTATACGTGGCATTTCAAAGTAGAAGATTCTATTAAACGTCACATTTATATTAAACAATACGTGTATTAAATAAAGTACCCGAATAAACATATAATATTGCATACAATTGCATACAACATATGCATGCAAAATATACCCATAACAAACCGTCATTTTCGAGTCACAAGCATTCGGGATTCGACTCGGTATCTCTGCGATCTATTCTTGAGATATTCTTATATACATTTTCGGATTCGCTTCAAATTTTATCCCAACAGTCTCGCTACGTGAAATTTCAAAAATCTTCGCACAACAAACATTTTCCTCTCGAACACTCTTGGAAAGAGCGAGCTGCCCTGACTATATTCTGTCTATAGCTCAATAAAATAACGAAGCTTGAACAGTTTTGCCCGAAGTTGGCCTCCGCCACGCACGCCACGGGGAAAAACCCAGTCGAATCGTACGATTTTCATGCGCAAACTCGCTGAGAAAGAAAAAAAAGGCGCGCTCGGTTCGCAGAGCGGTCACTTCAGCTCCTTTGTACGCTCGATGCCTGTCCATTCTCTAGCCAGCGCCGATGGTATCTGCATGCCACTTAACCATTACGTTTTACGAGGTGGATGGACATAAAGTGACTCTCCCGTTCCTCGTCCAGCAACAGGTTACATCGTTGTCCCGCTTTGCCGGACGGCGAATATTTTTCCACTTGTTGGCGCGCGCAAACAGTATCGTTTGCTCAGCAAAATTTACCACGGCTGTTTCAACCACGGTTGGACACATCCTGCTGGATCGACAGGCCGGTCACTATCGCCGGTATCGCGAATTTATGCCGCTATGTTTCGTAGTCGACGCATTGATAACCCGAAGAAGGGTTAGCCGCGGGAAAGTAGAAACGATCTTTGGTATTGTTATAGGGCGGGTTTAGGGAACTTGTGGAGGATAATTCCACCTTTGATTTGAAGACGACTACCACTTAGAAATATTAGTTTCTCTTTTTTCTTTTTTTTTTTCGAAGGAGCGTTCTTGCATGAAAACACGATTGGAATCTTGACAGAAATTTGCTTCATATATAGTATACATTGAGTATAGTACTTTCTGTTGCTGTAGATTGGGTTAGAAGTCGTGGCAATGCCGTGGTAACACCGTACTTTTGAAGGTGATGTTTAGAAATTAGTTTTCTTCAAAAAAGAAAATACAAAGGATCGCCATCAAGCGATAAGATTTTTTAGGAATTGCGAAAGACTATTTTACTTTACGTTGGGAATATATATTCGTTCTTGATTTTTCCGCGTTTCTGATCCGCTACAGAAACTTTCGCTTCTAGTAAAATTCATTCGATTTGACAACGCTAAAGAATTTCTTTATACGCGAGCGTTAGTTCACACAGACGTGAGCGTACGTTTTGTAACATGTATGTAAAATTGACCGAGTTTCTCGATTTCCAGCTCTAATTGTTATTGTAGCAAATAGTATTCAGACTCGATGTATTCTGTTATCATGAATTATCGTTGATTAATTTAATCACGCCAAAAATTCTGGAAGTATTTCTCTCGACAATGCGATTCGATATTATCGTCGACGCGCGAATCGCCGTCGGCGAATTTATTCCTGGTTATTAACTCCAGTCGATTAACTAATTATTGGAATTATTGGCCCGAGACCACGAGTAGCGAAATAACACGCGATATTCGCGTACAAATTATTATTCATTACCGAATGTTACATTGATATTATACATATAGTAATGTGCTTCGCCTTCACTGGTTTAACTTGAATCTTCGATGGTTGTTGGAATGCAGTTGCTTTTCGGAAAGGCGTTTATTTGCTTCCATGAAGTATTAAGTGTACATAACGTGGCTTCGAACGAATCGATCGGAATGCCACGACTGTTCACGATCGTGTCGTGTTATTTTTCCTTTCTCGCGTCGTAATATCTATCTCTGTCGATAATTCTCCCGCGTTCCATAAATATTGTACGCCTCGGAAGTGGATTCATATTTTTAGCGAAAGTAATTGAAAAAAAGTGAAATCTGGAGATGTTTTGCTCGTTGTATTATGCAACACAATACGTATAAAATATCATTTCTCTCTCCAAAGAATTTTTGCGAGCTTCAGCGATATTCTTCGCGAAATTTTAAACTAAAGGGAAGTCGCAGCAAGCTAAAACCAGGTTTAGATTAAGTCCGAACGAGTCGAACCAACTTAAGGGCGGATCGGTTCGGTCAGGTTCGATTTCCACCCAGCTCGAACGAAAAGAGAGAAACTTTAGAAAAATTCTCGCGACTATGGTGCAATTCGAATCTTATGCAACGTGACATTTTGAATAAGTCAGTTTGAGAGCCAACGAGCATCCATCGGTGTCCACTTCCTCGTCAAACTCGATGGAGCTTTGTTCGCCAGAACAGATCCGGCAATCGCTATGGAGATTTCACAAATGTGGAGCGGAAAAGCTCGTTATGATAAGAGGACAAAAATTTGCAAATATAAGGAAAAAACACATCACTGACTGAAATCAAAAATGTCGTACTAGGATCTGACTGTTTCGCGCGTTATTGTTATTTATACTATATATTTATTTACGATATATGTATTTATATATTTGTTATATTTATAATATTTATAATATATATTTGTTATATTTATAATATTTATAATATATATTTATTATGTTTATAATATTTATAATATATATTTATTATGTTTATAATATTTATAATATATGTTTATTATGTTTATAATATTTATAATATATATTTATTATGTTTATAATATATATAATATATATTTATTATGTTTATAATATTTACAATATATATTTATTATGTTTATAATATTTATAATATATATTTATTATATATATATATATATATGTTTTTCGCGTGAGATGTACAGATATATTTATACGAGAGGTCTCGTATATATTCCATACTATCGCGAGTCATTGTATTATACACGCGCGCGGAAATTTATCGCCAATCTCGCGGAGCCCGCGGTGAAAACGTTGGGAGAATCGCGCGTTAACATCTGAAACATCTTCCGCGACTCGTTCTCGTCGACGAAAACGCGCATAAACCATTGCATAATTTCACGTGATTACCGGCGAACCGTTGTCCGGGACGACGCTCGTGCACGCCGTTAATCCACCTCGCTGTTCCAACGAAAAACGGTCGGTCCCCAAGATTACCTTAAGTGTTCCCCTCTCGGCTGTCAGGAAGCATCGATCTGAAACAATCGGGCACGAATATATTTCTGAAACTCGCATCGCGTTCCAACGCGCCGCGCAATCCCGTGAAATCAAGGATAATTGAATTTGGTTGTTATCCACGAAATTGCACGCGCAAGAATTTCTAGAAAGTTTCGCGGAACTCGCGGGCAGAGCGTTTTGGAGCGAATTGAATTTGACGAAACAGTGAAAAACATGAACAGTTAGTGAGTTTGCTGTTAGTGAGTTTTGTGAATTCTTTTCTGGATAGTTGTCATTTTGGAAATCGATCGGTCATTTGCAATATCTAAATATTTACGAATATTTCAGAGCGAAGTATCGATCGTCGATTCGAGGATTTTAAATGACCGATCAATTTCCAGAGTCACTTCGAATCGAATATTTCAAATTCCAACATTTCAAATCTGGCCAGGATATGTAGAATCGTAATTGCAATTTATTGAGCAATTTGTGAGAGATAATTTCGCGAGGAATTTAGTATCTAACGAAGTGTTGCCGAGGAATTCCGAATGGCGGTAGTTTGCATCGGATAATTATCATTTATAAAATCATTTGTAAGACATAAATAAGGATTAACGCCTGCGTGACTGCAGCTAGTTACGTAACAATGATAGAAAATATACATGCATGAAAAACATTCGGTCGTCCCAGTTCGGAGGTTCGAATATCGTGTATCGACCGCAGTTGTAAACCCCGTTCAGATCTCGGAGGATCGTGTGTCACCACGAATTTTGTATGAGTTGCACAAGTCACGCGTGACCCTTAAAAAGTTTCTCGCTTCCTTGTTCGATGGGTCGACAAGAATATGAGCGAAAACTGGTTCGATGGGATGGCGTAGAAGATACGTACATTTATTTATCCCATCGCTATTGAGCTTTCCACTTTTGCTTTTCTCTTAGGTATCCCTCTCTCCCCGTTAGAAATAAAAAATTTGCCAATTTGAAAATTCGAAATTGAAGATCCATTTCACTCGCAGTGACGTTTCAAACAACTTTCGCGTAGCACGTGTTTGTAAAAGAATATTCAAATACTTTTGCTAGCTTTCAAGAAGAACAAAAAACGATCAATTTCGTTTGAAAAAAAAAAAAAAAAAAATACTAGGTATTTCGTTTCCATCAGTTTGTTCATCATTCACGTGACGACAAACTCCAAGATAAAATGAAATTTAAATTTTGGAATTGATCTGTATAATAATCACACAGTTCGCTAAAAAACGGTCAAAACTTGGCGCGTCATTACGTATCAAATTAACCAAGAAAAAAAGATTTATCTTTATTTATTTTTCATTACGTATTAAATTAACAAAAAAAAAGAAGAAGAAAGAAAAAAAAAAAATGCCAACTAAATCTGGAGTCTGGAGTCTTGAAGTCTTGCGATCGCAAGCGATTGATCGGCGAAAATTCAATATCATGCAAATGGAACGTCCTCTGGTTGCCGAAGTTTCCGTGAAAAATCCGTTTCTGTCCGCGATGCTCGGCCACACCCTGTTTATATCAGCCGTGCGTACGTGTGCGTACTGTGTGCTTTGCACACAGCCGTAGGGATAAAGGAACGGATAAAGGACGAGACTCGCAATCAGCCGCGCCGTGGTCAGGTAGCCTGGCGAGATGCAGCCGAGTTGGAATCGAGTTCAAGGACCTCGCTTTTCCGGAATAGAATGCAAGCCGCGCGTACTGTTTATGTGTATTATACCGAGAGCAAGCAGCTGGATACGCTCTGCTCTTAACGGGCTCCAGTCTGCAGCTTCACTGTTCAGGAAATGAATTCTCGAAGAACGTTTTCTTCTGGAACGTCTCCACGGGAGGCTCTTCTCCTCGTCGTCGAGATTCGCCAGCTTTACGAGCGCGGGAAATTGAAAGCGTTACTCTCGCAGAGGATTCGACCGCGTTTGCTTTGCTTTTGAGAAATTATCGCGGTGTCTTTCACTTGTTTCCTGGCTGGTGATCGATGATCGATCGGGATTTCTTTTGATAAGAAGAACATCGTAGGGAAAAAGTTTTGTATTTATACTCTATTCTCTTAAATGGAATAAAAGACGTTGGATTTGGCGTTTCTCTTTCTTTTTGGTCTTGGTATCGTTGATCTTAGTAATTTTTTTAAAGAATTTGGATAAATTACTGGAATATGTTTAATCATTTGCCTTTCGTTCCAAATGAACGAATCCAGAAATAATATTTCATCTGAATTTTAATTATCGTTTGTCATCTTGCGAATGTAAACAATGAAAATTTCAACAATTTACAATGATCCTGTCGTATTTTTCACGGTAATACCAAGTAGATATTTTTCAAGTGTTTTTTTCAAAGTGTTTTTCATCTTGCAAACCGAGACCGAAACAAATCTGGCAATAAAAGCGTTGTCGATTTACCGCGTTTCGTCAAGTTTGAAAGCTTGATATTTTGAATGAAGCCTCGGCATCGTTGAATTTCACGTACTAAATGTTACATTCGAGGCTATCTGTACGAACTGTTTCTGTGCAGCGAAATTCTCATTATCGAAATTAATCGTGGTATGCAAAGCTCGATCAAACGTTTCGCATAATAATGTTGATGCATACCTTATATAATTACATTCCGATACGAGCCAGTTGCATCGCGATATAAATTACTTTGTAAAATAAATTGCAATGTGGGTGGCGCTGTAATAATTAGGTTTAATAAGGAGCAACATATATATATATAACGATCGATGCGAAGACGTGAAATTGACGAAACAAATGTACACGCGATAAATTCAAATAGATTGCGTAGTTTTAAGAAAAAAAAATAATTGGCTTGTGGAAATTCTTCGTACACGTAATATCACGTTAATGTTCCATTTTTCATAAAGACGGGATTATTATTTTATGATGTATGTGCGTCAATGGATTTCACTGGTGGTAATAATTCAGTGATGTTTATGAAAGTTGATAAAATTTCATATTTTTTGTCAAAGTGATTCAAAAAAATATCAAATGTTACAATGTACGCTTCGTTTCGGATATTTTATATACTTGATTAAATACAGATTAAAAACTCACGTAAAAATCGGCAGCCTACTCGTGATACGTAGTTTTTGACACATTTCCGGATTCTTGCACATCTCTAATAGTAATTGGTTCGTCGGAACGTTTCGCACAAAAATCCTCTTACTGTCATAACTTTTAAATATATATTTACAAAACATAAATTTTATATTTATTTATAACATATTATATATTATGTATATTATATTAATAATAATATATTAACAATATTTATAACATATTATATTATTATAATATATTATGTATATTATATTATATTTTAAACATAAATTTTAATCTTTTCTTTTTACATTTTTTCTATATACATAATATATTATACATAATATGTTATATTATATTTTAAAACATAAATTTTAATCTTTTCTTTTTCGTCTCTGTTTCTTTTGAACATGAACGAAGTTTCTAAATTAAGAATTTTTAATTTTGTCATTGCTCCATCGCGGAAGAGGTACCACTCTACTAATCCATCGAAATCGAGCAGCAACACGAAGGATTCCAACGATGGCGAACCGAGGTATTCAGGTCGCAGCAAGGCCGAACCGTGTGCGAACAGTCGCGAAGTAAAAGTGCCGAGATATAAAATGTAGGCTGTTACGTGGCTCGAGGCGCCTCGCTCTAGGTCTGAGGACATTTTGGAGACTTTGGATGACCGTTTCTAACAGGCTATCCGATCGATCCGCCGCTTGTCGAACGATTTTCCTCTCCTTTCGTACAAAGCACGTTTCACGTGACGTGGAACATTGGAAATATTATTTTATTATTTTCTACATTATGTCAGAAATGAAACGGAACAATAATTAGAAACATCTGGAAAAGCGCGATAAAATATTACTATGGAACGATTTCAATTAGAAAATTGTATCGAGACGTTAAAAAAAAAACGTTTGCGAATATTACGTTTCATACAAACGAACTACATTTTCCATTTTTGCTAAAGGAGCAATTTTAAAATTTAATACCTCGTCAATCAGCCGCACGGCACAAACGCGTTTGTAAAGACATATTTATATTCTCCTTACAATTCAATTACAATCGTATGAAAATCTTTCAGTTTAATCAGAACGCGATATTTAAAGTCAGAATATCATCGAAAATATACATACTTATATCTTTTTTTGCGACGTTGCGTGTTTTTTCTCCCCACCTTTAAATTTTCTCGTCAATTCGGAAATCCTAAATCGGAAATGTTGCGAAATACGGAAAGCGTAGACGGCGTTCTATTTTATCTGTTGCCGCGGAGCTTCTCCCCGTCATTTCGTTTCATGGAAACGAGACAAAACGAAATTTACGAGGGAGCTGCCGGGCACGTCGCGCTCGTACCTCCCCGATTATTATAAAATGAAACGGCCGTGGCAATAATATCGTTTGTTATCGCTTGCACCACGGACTCTCACCTACGCGTTTCCTCGTGGGTAGACGTGCAAAAAAAAAAAGAAAAAAAAAAAGAAAAAGCGGTGGACACGTGGGAGTATTAGGTTCCAAAGGCGACGCGATAACGACAACCAAAAAAGAAAGGAAAAAAAAGTGGCGGTGTCGTGGGTGTGAAACACAAGCGTGCTTTTTCACTGGTAAAGGTTCACCCGTGATACCATTGTGTCCATCGCTTCGTTCAAGTTTTAATTATTTTCTTTTCAACTTTAGCTTTTATCACGCGAAAAGGATTCGCCGTTCGCCGGCGGATTCAATTATTATCACGTCGTGCAACGTTTATGCAAACTTCGCGTTCCTGCGGATGTAATTTAGAAGAGACGAACGAAGATCGTTTCGCCTGTTGAATATTATAACATTCAATCGAAAGTCCATTCTCAAATTCTTCGGATACATCGATGAGCAAAGGAAGCACATATGACATTTCAACGTAGATAACACTCTATTGAGTATTTTCAGGTAGAATGAATGCAAAATATGTACAATGTTTTTATTACTGTGGTATTTATCACTGTGAATGTAAAACGTTTTGTACAACGTTTTTATCACTGTGGTTTTTATTACTCATCACTATGTTAGATACAAATTGTTTTTCGCTCTTAAATGAAAAATTATCGACACTGAACTTCTTATTATCGAAACAATAAAATATCATTATATACACACTCAAAGAATTCGAGGCATTTCCACACGGTTGAATTACGATTAATCCGATCTTCTTGCTTGTGAATTTTCTGGTACACGATAAATATTTACTCCCGATAAATATTCAAATTGATTACTGTTGAAATAGGATCGCGGATCGAGCCGCGATGGTTCTCGATCTCGTTGTTCGTGGACGACGCGACGCATTTGATACAGGATTTACAAGTTTCCTAAAAGGAAGACACCGGCGCGGTTCAACGTACCGATTATCACGATCCTCCTCTTCCCATTGCGAGCCGAGGAAATTATTCAAGAGTCGGTAGTCGTCTCTATCAGGTTGACTTCCATCGGCCGGCCGATCTTCCAACCTCCCATTAATCTTCTCTTCACCAAGAGGACTCACCGGCGGAAGATGAATTTTTTTTTTTTTTCGTTGATTTATCGTGAAACGGTAGCGTGAAAGTATCTGAGAAATCTTGCTGGAGGATTTTTTGTAAGCGTCGCACGTTTTCCTCGTGGGAAATTCGAAGCGTCGAAATAAATCTTTTTGCAGATTGTATTCGCATTTTCTGTGTTATAAATTAATCCTTTTGCGGATCGTACTCGTCCCTTTTTGCAAATCAAGTTTTTCAACGAATTGTTTTTCCTAACTGTAATAAAAATAAAGTTCAATGCAAAAGTTGTTATTCTGAAATAGAAATTTTACTGCATGGTGCGTGACAATGGTCAAGGAAAAAGTAACACAGAATGATATAAAATTAACAGAAAGTATTTATTTGAATTAAAAGTACGTATATACATACATATTTTACAGATTTATTTACATAGATATATATATATATATTTATCTATCACTGCGTGGAGTATATTCATGTATGTATGTAATAATTATGACAATCTGTAGAAGCGATAGTTGCAACAGAATGATTGATACCATTTACTAATTATAAGTGTTTATGGTTTGAAGAGTTAGTCAAAATATTTCTTGCGCAGAATTTAATTTTTGAAAATAATTTCTTCAATGGGGTTTCATCATTGAATGTGGTGGTTGTATTACCTCACTTTTGAGCCCACAAGATAAATTTGATTTGCAATAACATAAATCTGATTTTCAAAAAGGTGAATATGATCTTTGAGAGCATTAATTTATACTGCAGAAAGGTGAATATGACTTGCAAAGAAAGGGTTAATTCAAAGTGCAAACCTTAAGTGAAAATATTTAAAAATATTAAATACTAAGTATTGGAATAATATCATGTATTCATGCTTCAAATATCGAAATTATAGGTAATAAATATTAGAATATTGAATATTGAATAATAAATATTGAATCAAATTGTAATTTTATCGTAATAAATATTAGAATATTGAATATCGAATAATAAATATTGAATCAAATTGTAATTTTATCGTAATAAATATTAGAATATTGAATATTGAATCAAATCGTAATTTTATCGTAATAAATATTACGTAATAAATATTAGAATAATGAATATTGAATAATGAAATATTGAATCAAATCGTAATTTTCACTACGTAAAAGTGGCCGCTAATCTGATGAGAATCGCACAATGTCACGATCGATTATTAAACTAAAAGCTTCGTGAAATCTCGTCTGTCTCTCGTTTTCATTACTCTTACTGGATATGTTCGTCACTCAACAAAAAGTGTTTCTATTTGCTATGTAAAATTACGAATATTACGCGAGCAAATTCTCTTGCTTCGAAAAAAAAAAGAACGTCGTAGTTACGAATCTATTAGCGATCGTGCAACAGGTTTGGTCGTCGGTCGATCGATGCGATGTTGTGGTAGTCTCCGAAGTGAGACACGCGACACGCGAAATTTACGGACAATTCAGTCCCACGCAGTTTGGAAACACTCTGAATATTCCATGACATTAGACGTTCTCCACGGTGTCTGCGAGACGATGGACTTTATAGAGTTTCTCGTAAGTTCGAACGTGTTAGAGCTTGGAGTGTCGTAAAATGATTGTGAGATTCGATCGAAGGATTATGAACTAGATTTTTTTTTTTCTATTTCCGAGAATTCAAAGGAATTCATTAAAAATTACAAACGTCTATTTGAAAAGATTGAATTCATTACAGTACGAAAGTAGTTTATTCGAAAAGATCGAAGTTACGTTTGAGGGATACACGAGAATTTTAGTAACTGATTTTTGAATTGCAAATCAATTATTCTCTGGTCCCCCGATTAAATTAACTGCAGCAACAAAAATATCCGAATTTTTATACGAAAATGACAGAACGATGTTCCACATTTTTTTCATACGTTAGAACATATTTTATTCGAAAATAATTTTAACACATGTTAAATTTTAATCAGAAAGTCATTATTTACGAAATATCGTGCGCAAAAGTTTTGAAAGGAAGAAAAAAAATTTGTTTCTCGAAGGGAACGTTATCACGTAGAGTCTTCTGAGCTTTGTGTTGGCAGTTGAAAATGAAAGATAACTTTTTAAAACTCGTTAAAAATTCGTGAGAATACCTTCGTTACAAGTATCATATGCGGAATCATGCCCGCGTCGCTTTATTATTTCGGCCGCGTTTGCCGCCGGGCGAAACGGCGAACAATGAACGCGACTTTAACCTATTAAACTTGATTAATCTCGGCTGTCAGCGAGAACAACTTCGCTAAGGAACCGTCGCCTTGAGAACCGACTGGAAAATAAAACAAGGAAGCGGCAATGATTTTCTTTGAGGAGTGACAAAGGACACGAGAAGTTTAAAGAGAGAGTCTTAATCGAAAGAAATAAGATGAATGACAGAGGAGGAATGACGAGAAAGTCTAAACGGATTTAAATTTTTTCAGCCGACTAGAATGGCCTTCGTCGTGCTTCTGTTTTGTTAAAAAAGAAAAAAAAAGTGCTCGCAGAAGTAACTGTTTTGTAAGTAACTGATTTTTTGAAATTAACTTTGAAGAAAAAGTTACTTTATCGACGAATGTCATTCGATATTTTGCCCAAAGTTTGATGGAAGTGAGACAGGATTGAACAAAAGAATAAGGTAATGGGATGGGATATTGAAGATGAATTTATCAAGATTGGACAAAGTTAATTATTTTTGATTTTTACAAATCGATACCAGATCGAGACAATGTTGAAAAGTGATTTTAAACAACTGGAGCAAGACACGTTTGTTCTTTGACATGGTGTTTCCGAAATAATTGGCGATTATTTTTCATCTCATTGGTGGAAGACAAGGAAGTCTGGTTCTCATGACCAACAAAAAGGCCATGCTCTCGAAAGATCTCTCGAAACTTGTCGATGATTGTCAATTAAACACTGATTTTATTGAGCGAAATTTTGACATGATCCTACAACTCGGCGCGAATGGGAATAATTTTCTTCGTGTAACGTGTAAAATTTACGGTAATCGTCTTTATGCAAATGAAGCGTAAAATGGATAAAAATGGAAAAGGTGATGCATTTAAAAAGAAGAAAAAGCAAATAAGCGACGTCAGCAACGAAAGAAATTCGAATCGTTGTAATATTTCTTTGAAACGAAACTCGACGAATCGTATCAGTCAACGAAGGTAGTCGAGTTCAGTGAATGGACTCGCGTGTTCCAATAACCGAGTCAAGGTCGCCGAAAATCGTACTTTATTCACATTGAGATCGAATCCGTATCTTACGATCGATAATAACAGGAACCACAAGTTTCGATCACTCGAGGTCGATCAACGTCCATGCTATACTTTCATTTTCTTTCATTTATTTCTATTCTAACGAATTCTCTCATTTAATACATGTATAATATGTTCACTATATTATAATTAATATATTTACTAATAGTAATAATAATTTAATATTAATATATTAATTAAATATATAATATGTTCATTATATTAACATACAATATATGGTATATATATATGCCAAATAATATATATATATATATATATATATATGCCAAAAATTTCTTCTCATCTATTTTTTTTTAAATAAAACTAATTTTATTGATTTTAAATTAAACTCAAGTTCAAACATGATTTCTTCATTATGCTTTAAAAACTATTCCTCTCAAATGAAAAATAAATAATAAAAAGTTACGAAGAGATTAAGATTTGTTTTAGTAGAAATGATTTTTGGCCTGTATCCTGTGTATACATTATATAAATTACATATAAGTATATATAAATTACAGTACATCAGTACATCATCATATAACATGTAACATGTTAACATTTAATATATAATACGTACATGTCCCGTTAGTTTATTAGTTTAGTTGAGAAATTATTTCAATTGAAAATTATTAGGCTATTTGAAAAAAAAAAAAAATATTTCACGCTGTGCCTGACACACGATTGACAGAGATTCCATCCAGACGGACGTACTCCCGAGATTAACTGGACGTATACTGTGGTTCTCGTTCAAATAATTGCGTCAAGCAAAGCTTCGAGAATCTGTCTCGAGCCTCTTCAACGCCACCGAAGGGTTACGAGTTTGATTGTCAGCATTAGCCTTGAGCAAACCGAAAACTCTCGGTGCGACCTCCGCCTCCGACTCTCGTCAGTAAAACCAGTCGCGCGTCGCGCGTCACGATCGCAAATCCCGGAGGTGGTCAAATCCAGGAATGCCGGATCTGTTTGCCGCGGCCTCGTCCGCGCTTTCCTCGCGGATGCGTGCGTCAGTTTCCAGCTTGTAAACACGAGCGGCAGTTTCGATCGCCTTCACCTTCGACGCCGTTTTATCGCAGAAAAATATCGTTGGATCCGGTACCAGGTCGGCCAGCTACCTCTGGCCCCCGATTGATCCTTTCGTCTTGCCGATCGTACGTCGTCGTACCGTCGCACTCTACACGCAGGAGGGGAACACGTTCTTCCCTCTGATCGTCGATCGGCCGCGATATTTACGCAACGTTGCAACGACCGCTAATTCCCTCCAACGCGTGCACTTGTCGTTGCCTTTTGTTTCGCGACGTGTTCCGAGCCGACGCCCACGTTCCACTGACCGGGATCAATGGCGATTTTTCCTCGGATCTCTTTCGCGGATGTAGTAAGCGGTTACGCGGAGATCGTGAAACTGTTTTATTGGTTTATTTAGCTACTCAGCTCGTCACGTTGCACCGCTGAATAGAATGGCGCGAGTCGGGACGTCGTAACGTATTTAAAGTTATCTACGAAATTTTCGAATGATATCATCCTTTCAGCTTCCAACAGTACTAATTAGTTAGTAGTATCCGAGTATATTAAATTCCGGGTATCATTTACAGTGACAGGAACGTAACCAACGGCAGCGAAACATTATCGATAATTTGAAACTGATACAACTTTGTAAAGAAAAGATCGTATAACGATCGTGTAACTTGGTCTCATTTTGAAAGCGTGAGGCTTCTAGTTTGAAACTTCTCGTCGTCGGTTCTTTTCTTTCGAAGATGTCTTCGAAACTCAGAGACATGTGTAGGAATATTAAAAATTTCCTTTCCTGTGAGTGAATCCACAGTCATTTTAAAGACTCTTAAAATTTCACAGTGAAACACTCTCTGAAACTTGTACAATTTTTTCCTTATTATTTTATTAAATGTCGAATAATTAGAGTTAAACGATAAAAATTCAAAAAATTCTAACATTCATTAGCACACTTATGCTCTTCATTGTAATAGTGTACAAATTCGTTAATTCGACAGTGTATTCTACAGTTCGTAGTAAAAAAAAACAAAAGATGAAAGAATCGAACTAATTTTTTATATTCTTTGAATTGATGATAAAATAGAGAAGAGCAGAGAATAGAGAAAAATTCATGGGATATTTAAATACATTTGTGGCTGAATGAATTTTTCATCGTTGGAAAAGATCGTTCGGCAACAATAGTTCGTGATCGAAGGCCGTAGAAGCAAATGCAACGTAAAATTATGGAACGCCAGATTTAAAATGAAGAATCGGGTCAGTCTGTAGCGTTGGCCAGAGTTACGAATTGCGTACAACTACATGTACGTTGCAGCGAATCGCAACTTTGAAACCCTCGAAGCGATGCATCAGTGAATTGAGAAGTCAATGAACGGGATAGCGCAATGAATTAAATTGATCGGCTGCGTAATGGAGATAAATTGAAGAAGCACAGGCGAATTAGAAGATGCGCGTCTCGTTTGTAGGACTTACGTATCGTTTCGAGCTCGAGTGAACGAAACGCTCCTCTTGTCTTTCATCTGGATTCATCTTCTGGATCGCAGAGACGATCAAAGAAAGATGGAATCAAATTTCTGTACAGATTTGTATTAGTAAAGGCTGAGAACGGTTATAAATTTTATGCGGGATCAAAATTATATCAGATGTAATTTGTGGAATGAAAAAATTATGAAATCAATTTATGAAACCAGGTTTTTTTTAAGTATGTAAAAAGAGTGATTTAAATATATAAAAAATAATTTAATGAACTTGACGAATTCAAGAGTAAATTAACTATTAATTTATGTTATATTAATATTATATTAGTTAATAATTATTTTATATTATATTAGTATCATATTAATTAATAATTATTCTATGTTATATTAATATTATATTAATTAAGTTTCATTTTATGAATCTAGTGCATAGTGTTTTTATTTACATAAAAACAACGTATATATACACGTATATATTTTTCCTCTTTTTACTTTTCTATAAACTCTAAAACATAATTTAGCGAATTTCACGAGACTAAGATCGTCGATTGTTCTAACGTACATCTTCTACTCACGAAAAAGATTACATTACTGTCCATTCGTATCGAATCGCGCGTGTTTGGCAAGAGAGACTCGAGCGAGTCTTGGAAACGAGGTTTCAGATGACGAAAATTTCATTCCAGATTTTCGATTCGCGCAAACCAACTTCCAGCTCGATCCTGCCACACCCTGTGTATCGACACAGATTTCACAAAACGCCTCGTAAATAAGGAAACCGTTCCGTGTGGCTTAATTAAAATCAGTCTCATTAAAAAAAAGGCGGTGTGCAGTAAGTTCGAGGGAGAAAGTTGGAATTTTTAAAGAATTATTCTCTCGAGCGCTTTGAATATCTTGCAGTGAGTTTAGGAAGTACTGGCATGAAACGTTCTGGAAACGCGTGGAATGCCGGGATTAAGAAGAGAAGTCTCTCTCGGACGATCGTAAAGATTTCCAGAGAGGTTGCGAATTCTGGAAACTCCTTCGCTGTTTTAAAATGTTTCTTCTTTTTTTTTTTTTTCCATACTTTGAATATTGTAAGATGCTTTTCAAAGCGAAGATGCTTTTCAAATTGTGTTAAATATATAAATATCCTTTGTGAAATAATTGTCGTTTCTCGTAGGATAATGGTGATCATATTTACATTAGAATTGCGCGTGAAGTAGCAGACACTTTCTGTAAAATATCCACATTTTATCTAAAAGACATCAGACTATTCAAGGATCTCAAAATTTAATTTATTCTGATCAGTCATCTGCATTTCCATCTAATGTAATTTTATTTATACTGAACAAGGGAAAGTTTGTAATTTTTCTAAAACTACTCCATTGGAACCTCGTTTGTGTGAGTTTTGTTTAATTGGAACTCTTGTCAGTTGGATCCATTTACTTGAAAGTGAACGAGAATGTTACCATGACAAAGTAGTAAGAAAAATCAGAGTGGACTGCAATTATATAATTTATTTGTCCACCAACGGGTTAAATAGAAATATAAACGTGAACGTGACGCAAGCTCTAACTGCGTTTGAAGTTCACCTGTACTGTTTAAAGTACTCTTTTCATTTCACATCGTCAAGTAATTACAACAAATGATAAATCGTTTCATCTTCAAATTTATTTGAGAAGGAAAGAAAGAGACTTGATTGTTCGTTTTCGAGACAGAAATCTACGATGAGTCTGTATGGCGGCGAACGCCAGACGAAGGGAACTGGTTGCCCCCGGTTCGTTTCACAGGCATACGAAATTCAGCCGGCCGTCGGATTATTCGTTATTCATGCAAATGTATGCGAGAGCGTGAAAAGTGAATTTTACGAGTTTCGATCGCGGCCACCAACGCGTTCGAATGCATTCCGTGGGTCAACTGACCGAGACGGCCGAAACCATTTAGCGCTCGCGTGAAACGTGGTCGCCTTCGAAAATTCTGACCGAACGCTTCCACGCAACCGGAAGTCGCCATTCGCCCGGCGTTCTTTGAAATAATTCATTTTACTTACGGAAAGTGGAGGAAAAGAGGAACCGTTTGGAAAGTGTGAGAGTTCGCATTCGACGAAACATATTGAGAAATTTCTCTGTTTCATACACACGTATATTGTGTATTAATTAGCTTTATAAATAATCGTGAAAGTTATTAGAAATTATTATAGTATTATTATTATATATTATCCCGCTTATGAAATCGTAGCTGTATGTCGCAACAGAATTTTAAAAGTGCATAAATAATAAGATTTAACTCTTGTTTCAAGCACTATATTACAATCAGACTGCATTTATGCAACTATTTTATTTATTTCTCGCGCGTACTTACACAACATGAGTATGTGCACGCATATCTTTTTTAACGTAGACACATAACGCGAAACATATTGTTCTGCATATCGCATTTGCACATACATGCATACACATTTGCTTAGTGTCCACAGTCTGTGATAATTGTAATCACAATTCTACCCCGCGAAAATTCTAAAATTCCCCAGAAAAATTGTCCAAACTCCGTCTTATAATAATCCTGAAGTAAAACTGAAACAGATAGTAAGAAATTCTTTCGTAAAAAGTAATTCCTTTTTTTTTTTTCTTCTTCTTTCTGTTACTAACGTATCGTTTTATCGTATCAGCCAGCCAATTAAAAACCGCGTTCCACTTCGGAATCATTTCTTCGAAAGAAACGAGCAAGAAACGAGCGGTTGGTGAGAGACTGTCAGTGACAAAGCTGAACGAGGCTCGATTGAAACGGTGGAGGGGGAGAAGGAGGAGGAGGAGGAGGGCAGATTGGAAGGTTAAACGAAAATTAACGAAACGGTGTCTAGCATTGAAACAGGGGAAATTCCTGGAACGCGTGCCGCGGCGAAACACACACAACTGGAGCAATCCGGAGCGGCGAAATTGCAACAGGATTGCATTGGAGGCTTTGCGGCGACCTTGCGTAACTACGAACCGAAGCCGGCATTTAGGAAATCGCCAGGGGAAATTTATTCATCGCCGGTTACCCTCGATTGTTTCTCGTTTCACCGCCGATGATTTTCTCTTTTCGTGTTTCTTTCTCGTCCGCCATTTTTCTTGGGTCTGGAGGCGGCTGAAGAAGAAGGGAAAAAAGAAAATGAACGAATTCAAGAATACGCGATTCACTTTACGATTTTTTTTTGCGGAATACAACGGAAGTGTTCTTTCTTTTAATTAGTTTTAATTAGACGTTTCTGATGTTTAATGGAAGGTATTTCAATGTGAAACGGTTCTCGACTCCAGAGAAATTTTATCTCAATTTGTTAAAGCGAGACGTTACGAGAAGATAGAATGGACAACGTTTAAAAAATAAAAGAACATCTTTGATTCAACAGTTTCCTTCATTTTCTTTTTTTTGCCAGAAAAGAATATTGCAGGAGTTACCAACACAAAAATCAATAAGCTCACTCTTGAAAATTTGTCACACTTATCACACGCTTGTCAAACTTAATTTGTTAATGAAAACCGTGAACGATGATTAAAGATAATACCCCGAGAGTATATCAGCCCACCTCGAAAGAGTAAATTGAAAAAGTTCAGATCGAAGCTTTTAAAACTTGTGGAAATTCTCGTGGGACGAGAACGTTGCAAAGAGATGGATGGATAACAGAGAACTAACGAAACGTGGGATCGTACGTGAGGGAGGAATAAAAGACGGATGTATCCTCGGTGTTTACATGATATTTATTTTCATGTTTTATAGGTAATTCTTATAACATTTTCTTACATATGGGAATATATATTCATGGACAAGTCAGAGAAATAAAACTAAAAAGAAAAAAAGAAATAAATCGCCGCTCACTTACGCACTCTTCGAACTCATCCTACAAAATAGCTCTCTCTTTCGCTCTCTCTCTCTCTCTCTCACACACACACACACACACACACACACACACACACACACACACACACACACACACGCACGCACGCACGCACGCACGCACGCACGCACGCACGCACGCACGCACGCACGTACACGTACAATATTTATATGCCCTTACGTTACACATAAATATTACACATGTACACATAATATTTCTCTGTCTCTTTCACTCCTGTCGTCTATTATTTCTGCTTATCTCGTTCGCTCGTGTAAATTTTCTCCTCAGTATACAAACGGGCAATGTTAAACTTTTGTTTGCTAATTGTCGTCGTGATTTTTTTTTCATTACCATTACGACCCGCGAATGATCGACAATAGCAATCATCCAGGATACAATTATTAATTTCCATACGCCTCGTGTGCGTGTGTCGTTGTCTCGTGTGTGCCTTTACCTGTCTCTGTCTCGCAACATCTTGTCATTATTCACCGTTTCTTCGCTCTTTTTTCTTTCCTTTCCTTCTTTAATACACCTGTTGTTTGAAAAAAAACAAAGAAATAATATACAGCTCGATCGGGTCACTTCGAAGGGACCGATCGTTCTTTTCTGTGGGAGATAAAGATAACTGAACCGAAAAAAGAGAGAAAAAAAAGAGCGGATCGTGAATAATCTGTTGCCGGAAGTCTGTCGAGGATCTTGAGAACTTCCGGTTACTCGAAACTGTTACGGTGACGATCCCCTTATTTCTCTCGCGACAAGCTGGCGATTTTCTTCTCGAGACTCTCTGCCCTTTCCCTTTTCTCTGCATTCCTCGCAATCTGAAGAGGATCCGTCGAATTTTAAAGAAGGAATCTCGCGTTCAATCGTGATTCTCGAACTATTCTTTTCTTCGGAAAGTCCTTTCCGAGTTGAAAATCACGAAAGAGAAATCGATATTTTACACTGAAATTGAAAAATTCATTTTACATTTCAATAAATTTATTTGACACTTTAAACTAGCGAAACATCAGACACGTTTGAAGTTTCCCTTTGCAAATTGGTAATCACAAAAGGAAATCGGTATACTTCGGAACAATTAACGATATTTCTGAAATTTCCCTTGCAAATTGAAAATCACGCTTTGTATACACTTTGAAACACCAATATTGAGAGTCAGTCGACAGTGTGTAACAATTTTGGGAGAAAGAAGTCCGCAGTAAGCGTAAAAATGTTTGGTATGATTGTTCAGTCGCGATTTTCACGAAGGAAAGAATGAAATTTCGCGAAATACATACTTCGATCGTCGTGAATTGTACGGAGTTTTCTGTTGTGTTCAACTAGGTTAAAAAAGATCTCTGCTCTAGATTGCGACGTATGCACTTACGACTGAAGGTATCGTTCGCGTTTCTGTGTTGCTCCACTACCTCGGTTACGTGCAAATTTATTAAATCGAGTTTCTATTACGTAAAAGCGGAAACGAACCGTGGGAGGTCGAACGTTTACACTGTACACCTTCTTTTTTCTTTTTTTTCCTTTTTCGAGTCAAGCAATTCTTTTTCGTATCAAGCAATTCACCATCGCGAATTCAATGGCTCGTACGGTTCATTTCACATTTTTTACATTCTTATTTCCTACATCTTCTCTCAAGGTTTTTTCACGTTATATTTAGCTGAAATTCGATGATTATCCAGTCTCCTCCTATTAATTTTTCATTCGCTCAGTTCTTTTTTTTCTTTTTTTCTTTTTTTTTTTTACAGTTCCATCGTTCTGGAACGAAAATCCACGTCCTCGTTGATACGCAAGCTTTAAACGTAGAGCTTTAAATTCTCTGAACGATCAACCCATTGAAATTTTGAACTTAAACAACGTAAAATCACTTGGCAGAAGCTTGGTTTCTATCTCAGAGCCAGATTGAAAAGCAACACGCTATGTTTCATTATTCGACGTCATTGTTCTCTTTCTTTAGAAACAAAACGAAACGAAATAATTTCACTGAGAACAACTCTGATCGCTACGATCATCGAATTCTTATATTCTCCGTTTCAACGAGAAAAAAGAAAAAAAGACTTTTCGTATTTCAAGGAACATTTTCACGTAAAATTCAAACGAGAATCAATAACGATTCTTTTGTTTGACGATGTTTTTCTTTTTTTTTTTTTTTTTTTTTTTTGCAAACGTAACTAACTTTTCAACGATAGAAAACGCGAGATCGAATCGAAAGTAATTCAAAGAACGTAGCGCAGAGTGAAGCACAAAGTTTTCAATGAGTTGCATCGCAAGTTGATCTTAAATCTAGTACATCACGATTTACACAAAAATCACGAAGTGACGAAATATTTTCTTCCAAACAAGAAAGAAAAAAAAATCTATTTCTTCGAACATCGTTTATATTATCTTTTTTTTTTTTCTTGCTAACAGCACGACAAAGAGCTCAAGGAACGTCGCGTTCTTAGAGAAAACCTTATTTACAAAGAAAATCACATTTATAATATACATCGCGCGGATAGATTTATTTAATCGATCTTTCACTCGGATTCGAATTTTTCTTTTCCTTTTTTTTTTTTTCTTTTTTTTAACGCGATTTTTCACTCGGACAATTGTACTTGCTCTTCTCCCGCGAGAAATTCCACCTTTTCCCTTCTCACTCACTAATGATCGTATTTTTTTCTTCTTTTCTTTCTCGCGAGAAGTTCTATCTTTCCTCTCTTCGCGAGGAATATCCGTCCTTTCTCTTTTCACGCTTATTTATCACTGAAATTTTAGATCATTTCCCCTCCCTTTCTTTCTTTTCTTTTACACAATTTCTCACTAAAACTTTCAATTTTCTTCCGTCTTGGCGAGAAGAGTTTTCTCGATTCGGTTCGAAACGAAGGAGAAGCTCGTTCGAAGGAGTGTGAAGAACGTTTCGAAAACGGACGAGGGGAAGTGCCCTCGTCGCGTTTCCTCGATCTATCCTCCTCGTCGAGTGATGCCAGATCGAGAAAATGTTTCCCTTCGTTCGCTCCTTTCGCTCACTTGCTTCACCTCTCATCGTGTAAACATCCGAGAAAAAAAAGAAAACGATTCGTCTGTACTTTCCTCTTTCTTGTTTTCTTTTTTGTTTTCTAAATTATTTTAAACAAACGTAGATGCATGACGAGATCGTGCGAATACGTCGTTCAATCGTTCGTCTCGATCAATT